CTCTATATATATATATATCGATTTTCTTCTTTTCTTATGTTATTATCGATCATAAATATGTTTTAACATATTATTTTTTAATCATGTTAAATACTACATCTTTAAAAAAAATCTAAGTCAATAATTTATGTTTCCTCACTGCTAGGATCACATTATTAATAAATGAATGTAAAAATAGAAATGAAAAAAATTAAAAAAAACCTTTCAATCTCCTGTCTCTTTAATTTCATGGTTGACATATTTCTGTTTACTTGAAATCTGAACATGGGGGAATAAAGATACCATGTACTGGTCATATCGATGCCTTAGAATCGATATTGATTCATTTTTAATTTGATTTTTTTTTATTATGTTTTGCTTGACCAAGAATATCTGGAATTCTACTTCTTTGTATCTTTTCTTCGGAAAATGCCTGTACCAAGTCAGGAATATGGCAGTTTTTTTTCTCTCACTTGTTCCGTTAATTGAAAGCGTTTGATTTAGTCAGCTTTTATGGGAATCTTCTTTTTAAATTTGCCTTGGAATTCGGTGTTTTTATTATACTTTTTTTTCTAAACTGGAAGAAACGCAGTTTTAACTTACGATATATCGATTTGATTGTAATTTACTTTCTACCTGGTCTCTACCTGGTCTCATACGTCGTAGGACGACAATATTTGATAATGATGATGCTGAATTACTTTTCTCAATAAAACTAATAACATAGTTAAAGAGAACATTTTTAAACATTACCATACGATACAATTAGACATGCATGTGCAAACAATACAATGAAATTAACTTGGATGACTGACTTTCAAATTTATAATTTTAATGTAATGAGTCACATCATATATTAGAGAATCTTCATGACGATACTGGGATATGGGTACTTAGTCAAATCTTAACAGGAAGTTGTGATAACATCAGAAGTAGAAACATATAACAAAAAATAACAATGTCAAAATTGTTCAGGCGTTCATAAGATCTTTATTTTGGTAAGTCGACACCACGAAGTTTGTGCATTTTTCTGAGTAGGTTTAATTTCTTTAAAACAAATATACTGCAGGTCATTAAAGATTGCATATTTTGGCTTTAATATTGATTGACTTATAGGGTCTTTGCATCGGAATTAAACACAAAAAGTCATTTATTCTAAAACCAGTTGTTGGCATGACACGGGTTATGTTCTTCTCATATATTTTATGACGGTATAGTACTAAATCCCTAACAGGAGGGATTGTGCCTGATATTCATATGATGAAGACATAATCTTTCAATCAGTTTAATTGAGGTCTGGAGCTGGCATGTTAGTAACTGCTAGTAGTCTGTTGTTATTTATGTATTATTGTCATTTTGTTTATTTTCTTTTGTTTCCTATTCTGACATCGGACTCGGACTTCACTTATACTGAGTTTTACTGTGCGTACTGTTGTGCGTTTGTTTTTTCTACATTGGCTAGAGGTATAGGGGGAGGGTTGAGATCTCAAAAACATGTTAACCCCGCCGCATTTTGCGCCTGTCCCAAGTCAGGAGTCTCTGGCCTTTGTTAGTCTTGTATCATTTTTAATTTTATTTCCTGTGTATAATTTGGAGTTTAGTATGACGTCCATTATTACTGAACTAGTATACATATTTGTTTAGGGGCCAGCTGAAGGACGCCTCCTGGTGTGGGAGTTTCTCGCTGCATTGAAGACCCATTGGTGGCCTTCGGCTGTTGTCTGCTCTATGGTCGGGTTGTTGTCTCTTTGACACATTCCCCATTTCCATTCTCAATTTTATTTGCTAAGGGTTGGCATTCGTTAGCAGTCGCCATCCTACAGATTACCGACTGTTGGTTATACATATAATTTAGAACCTTCATAGAAGCTGGAATTTGAATGCAGTGTTGATATTTTACTTTTACATACATTTATTTGATTCATTTAAAATCAATATAAATATGATATATAGATTTTAGTATTGATAGTTCGTTTTATCTAAGACCTTTATTTATATTTGTAATTTTCCTTATTTATTTTGAAATTTTTAAAAAATATTATATATAATATGCGCAATGATTAGTTGTTTGTTGACAATTACTAAAAATATGTTTCCCATGTCACCTATAAAAACACGGACTCCACAAAGATATGTTACGAAGATTCTTCAAAGTTGGGCGAGCATGTCACTATTTTTCTCTCTTTTTTCTACACGAGGCAACAGATGTAACGTCCCCATTTATATCTAACGTGGCTGCACATTTACACATCCAGCATAGAAAAAGGGTCTCTTCCATTTAGCACAGGTTTTGCGATAGAATGGGAGAAGTGTAGCTAAGTGACTTGCAGGAGGATGTTTTCAGATTGATCTATCTGTTGCTTGGCATTCTTATTTTATTGCCGCGCGAACGTTGATTTTCATTTTTGTACACATTTGTATCCTCATCTGTCCTGTATCTTATATTGCAAACTATTCATTTTCACGCTGTCTTGTGCAAAGTCATATATTTTCAGTTCTAATAAGACCAAAATCCTCCTCTCCTGAAAATCGAATGGTCGTCCCATAAGTAAAATGTCGTCAACATCTTGTTTTTAATACATAATAAGTTTTTATTGACGTCCTTTTTGTTAGCCTTTGAAAAAAATCTTCAAAATTACCCTCCTTACTGCACGGCACGACACAAGGAGATTAAATGGTCCAATGCTACTGTTTCTTATCAGTCTAGATCTCTTGGAAATAACAGAAGATTAGTATAAAAAATGATGATTGTGAAAGAAAATATTAAAATTTTTACATCCCAGATACGGATCTAGAATTTGTGAAATTGGGAGGGGGAGGGCCCTAATTCTAGTAAATGTAATAAATACTGCATAGCGGAGCGATGCAAACAATTGTGAAAAAATCATATTTATCGTGATAACACGAAATGTTTGGAATCATGCAATGTACACTCAATTAACATTTAGTTTTACAGAAACACACTGGTTTCCACAACACAAACACCGATGATAATATCATCAAAATGCAGGACTTGTTGATCGATAACATATAACTTTAGTTTGTTTGATTGATATTTCAGCAGACAGTCGATATTCCAACGAATATTTATTGTGCACCACTACTGGCCGATCAAAATTCTTTAATTTTACTTTCAGATATATTGAAGATAATTATCCTGCCAATACATGTCAATGAATACATTTCAAAGAATGCTTACATCTCAGAAATCCAAGTAAACTGTATATTGATTAAGAATACTTTTGAAAGTAGAAGAGATGCCTAAGATACCAAAAGGGACATTTAAATTAATAAGTCGAAAACAAACTGACAACGCCATGGAAAAAAGACAAAAAGACAAAAAGACCAAAAGACAAACAACAGTTCACAAAACACAAAATAGAAAACTAGAGACCGAGCACCAAAAACCGGGGGTGATATCAGGTGCTTCGAAAGGGTAAGCATATCCTGCTCCAAATGTGCCACCCGTTGTGTTGCTCATGTTAGTAAAAACCCGATGAATAGTCTTTAATACGGTAGGTCTGTAGGTCACATTCCGGGAAAAGGGAAGGGGATTGTGGTTAAGACGCGTACGATCGGAACATATCCTTCATCATCAGTGAAATATAAATTCAATAAAAGTCAACCAACTTGTCCGCAAAATTTACGAAGGGATGATTTCCCCACTTGGAACTCTTGGTTTAATAGCTTCCTTGTGATTATCAACTCTGTATCAAGGAAATCATGACAGGAAATACGATCACTGAAATACGGTATCAACTGGGTAATATATACTAGTACTCCGTATACAGGCGCTACTTGAATGTTCCTAAATAGAAATGAAAAGTTCACAATAGAGAAGCTGAAATTATCTCTTTTGTCGTGAATTTTTGTTTTTAATTGTCCCTTATCGTCTATTTCTAGATTTAAGTCCAGATATGAGACAGACTTAACTGCATATGTTGTATCCATTATCTCCAATTTGATGGGATAACTGCGTAGAATTCTGCTTCATATCTTGAGTTTTTTCCTCGATATTGACAACAATGGAGGACCTGAAACTAGAACTTATGACGCGTGAGGATTCAACGTTCCAATTGTCTGTTTCACATTTCTCAGCAGTTACGCACGCTCTGCGCCGTCGTATGGGGATAAAATATCTTAGAACTTTTCGCTCACGAATGTACGGACTTCATTTACAGGAATGTGATCAGTACACATCTGGTTCAGCAAAATTGTTACCGTATACAATTATGTTATTTCTACCACTGGGTCAATACCTTTGCTGGTGGAATATCAGTTCTAGAGGGCATCCCCAATTCGAGTAGCCAGAACTTCTGTACTGGTATCAAAATACAGATATTGTGTTATTAGAATTTGCTATATTTATATTTTGGAAATTATTTTGAACTAAGGAATATCTCCCTCATGCAAAGCCTTGGTTATACTTATGGTACTTTTTGGTTTTTATTAGCTCGTGTTTTGTCAATAAGGTTTGGTAAGATTTTTGCTTCTTTCATCACTGAAGTCATGGAAGTGTCATTTATTGTCAAAATGTGCATTAGGTGCAGTAACATTGGTACAGTCTATGTTATTACACAAAAACTGTTCCCATACCCGTATAGTCGTCTGATCTGTAATTTTACTGAGTGTGTCCTGTTCCTGTAACATTATGACTGAGTGGGAATTCGCATGTCAGCGATATTTCATAGTAGGATACGCTCACAATGTCGATACACCCGGTCTCGTTCCTTTTGGCGTTCGTGCGATTCTCTTAGGTTTTGTTTATTACCAGGATTGGTCACTTCTTAATTGATTTACGAAATTTGAACATCAGTAAACTACTGTCGTCTTAATTTATGTCTTTGATGTATTTATTAGACATGCTCTACACAAATTATTTTGTTTTCTGCGAAATGACCACAAAAATAACCGAACAAGAGTTTAGAAATGTAAAACAATACTGCGTATCTAAAGAAACAAAACAGTTATATGATTACGGATGTTAAAGAGTTAAACTGTTTTAGAAATCAATAGTCCAATAAAATACATATATAACTTTTCATCAAGAAGACAAATCGACAAGATGACAATTTAATCTGACCTGACCATATTCAACATTTTATTTCACTTTTACATGAAAGAAAACTAGTAATCAGTATTACAGTGATTTTCTTTCTCGGTAACAAATAATTCTTAAGCCTTATTGTCATACAATTTCATCCCCTAGGACAGGACGCTTGTAATATTTGAATTACTTTAAATTTGACGAATGTTTACATTTCACTTCTTATTGAAGTGTCGGCAACCGGAAATGGTTGATTTTTAACTACATCAGGTGTCTTTGTGTGCTGTTCGGTTATGTTTTATTACTGGTTACCGGTCGCAAATGCTTGTAAATGCTGCCCATAGTTTTCTTGTACTGGTATCCGATTTCCTTGCGTGTAGTCTGCTTGTTGTTGGTAATTTGGAATATTTGCCGGTTGTTGACCATTAAATCCGTGCATTTGGTTCATCTGCATTTGATGGTATCCTTGCTGGTTCTCTAAAGATATTGGAGTGTTTGGCATACTATACACCATTCCAGATTGTGCCGTGTTCATGAATATGACACCTTGGTGCTGTAAAAATTGAATATACATATTTCAGAAATGATCCATAATTATCTAGGGAAAGGCGCAGTTAAAAATGAGAACACTTTTTTATCAAGAATTTAATTGTTCAATATATATGTGAAAGCCAATGCTAGTTTGTATTTTAATGCCTACAAAAAAGATACCATCAATAAGTTTCTTGAATATTTACAAATCAGCAATTTGCATTATTTATGCAGCGTGAAAGATCTACGTTGAAGTCATTGGTAATTTAATAATATTTTGTTGTCAGCTACATGGTATAGATATTAAATTTAATTTGTTTGTGGTAAAGCTTGTCAAATCCATTCATTGTAGCTTGTTGCTGGTTGTTATGTGAAGCTGTTTGTTAATTTTTCTGATGTTAGGGACTAATGTTTGAATTTTATTCAACGGGATGTTTTATTGTGTTCCGGGATAGTTTTTTTACGTGTAACCTCTTGCTTGTGTATACATTTCATATCGCAAAAATAAAAGCTTTATTTATCATCTTTCATGTTGATATATTTCTACATATTTATAATCCAATGTCGAAGAGCATAACTTAGACACAATAATCAGTATACTGACATTTTCCATATTGAGCTGTGAACAGCAACAACAATATAATGCTGCAACAATGGATATGATGAATTCGAAGCAAGAAAATATAGCCAGGAGGGAAGACAATACAATAACTCTTCTTGTGTTCGTTTTCAAATCAACCTTAAAATAGAATGTCTAAATAATTTATGTGCAAGTGTAAAAATGTGAAAAAAACACAGTTTAAGCATAACTGTTAATTACATCTTGTGCAGGCAAATTGGTACTGAGTAATGTAATCATTACCATCCATCGAATCGATGTCTCTGCTTGTGTACTGTTACCTCATTGAAGTTTCACCACTCTAGTAGTTGAGTACCTCGGTACTGATGAAAATAATGGTAATTTTTTCATTAAATTTACAATGATCAAGCTAAAGAATTTACAACTTAGATTAAGGAATGTTTCTCAGAGATTAAAAGCTCCGATTTCTAATCCTGGTCTTGATTCAGGTTTTTGTTATTATCATCATATCAGATAGATCTTTGATTTTAAAATGGTTTGGTCTCGAGGATAATTGCAGAGAGGTATGACGTCGAAATACGTATCTAGGAACGTAAACATTTACGTTTAAAATTATAACATTATATCTAATGGAACAGCCACCTTTATCGTTTTACATTTACATAATTAACAACCTCGAAACAAATCGAAACAAAAGAGACATTTCTATTAACCATAATTTTCGATACTTAACATGTGTCGAGAACGTCATTGAACTTGAAAAAGTTAATCTGTAAATTTTATGGTTTACAATCTAACTCAAGTATTTGTCTTTTTCAATTAGAACGTGATGTCCAATTAGGCTTTATACAATATTGGTCGCAATACAGTTCGAGAAATGAATTTTACTTTGACATATCATTAATCTATTCATTGAAGTGCAATTTTAAGGAAGAGGGTATTATTTGTTTTTATTGTAGTGGCCCCTCTCAAAAAATAAAAACAACACGTTATCAATTTTAATGCGTCCTAAGCGCGTCTGTGCATTAACTTTCATCAGGAACGTTCAAAGCCGAATATTTGAAAGCCAATGATGTATAAGAATTGAAACAGTGGAAGAGTTATATGACAAAAAGGACGTTCTAAAAATAGCCAAAATTCATCCAAGGTCAACATGATTTAATTAAATAATAAGAATGCATGCACCGATTGGTTTCATTTCATAAAACGTTTTCGGTGTTAATTACAATTTGATATTGAATGTCTTTTGATTTATTTCGCTAATTTTGTCTAACCTTTTCGCGATTCGTTTACAGATTTTTTAGACTTATAGTAACAGAACAACACTTTGAGAAAATGAATTAAAAGAAACATTGGAAATTAATTAATTAATAGTAAATACATTGAGTATTTAATTTTTCATAGATTTTAAGAATGCTCAATAATATCATCTGAAGACCATTCTAGTCTGGTTGAAGAATATTCCACTGTCAAACATTATCATGTTTGTCAAAGACAGCATGGAATGATATTGAGTTTAGTTAAATTTTACTTCTTCATTTCATATACTCACATCGAGTGCTCCGATAATTCCTAAGGCAACCACGGTGGGTGAAAACACAGCTGCTAATATTATGTTACAAACCAGATATGCTATTATCTACAAATGTAAAATAATAATACTTTTCAATTGGCTTGATCGGTTATTATTTTAACAGCCACACAAATAACATACTATATATTTACAAAAAAATCAGTTGCCGATACTTATATCAAAACTAAGAAAGAGATGTAAGAATAAGTAATTAAGACTGTAATTATACAACTTTAATCATTCCGAATAGATATATAAACGTATTTTAATTTTGATTGCATTTATTGCGACCATGGCCAACCACTGGCTGTACTTGCCATGAACAAGAACATATGTGTAAATAGTAATGTAAGACTGATTGCCCTTTCAGATCAACTTAATTTACCCATAGTTTTGTTTGAAAGGGTTCAAGTTGCTTTGGTTTTAGTTTCCGTGTTATATTTGCGATATTTTCAATGTATGTCTTGTTTCAATTGATAAAAGTCGCTTCTGTCTTTGTCCTGATGGTTAATGAATTCATTGATGTTTTGAGATTCGACTATGTGCTATTGTGTGATGTTTTTCACCGGATATTACTCATCAACATGAGTAACTCGACTGGTTTCCCTTATGAAGCAGGAACTGCAAACACTCCCCATCCAACTGATTTAATCCTGAAATACTCAATAATATTGCAGACAAGGATTATTTTTAATTATCAGTATTACAGCGTCCGCTATTCAACAAATTAGCTTCTTCAAAGTATAATATAATTATATATTTCTAAATTCGCAAATGATAAATTCTATTAAATGACAGTCATCACATTGAACGGTATCAGATTTACTTAATCAAATGTGCAATACGAAAATTATTATCGCTTCAGTGACGCTCGATGCAAAAATCATTGAAAACCAAAACCTATTAAAAGCGTTAAGAGAACACATGGAATACGGGAAAAATACAAATTAGTCCACAACACACTACAAACCTCAGTCTGATTACTACGAACCACAACAAAAAGTTAGAGTGATTGCAGGTGATAAAGGGTTGAGTAAATCAATCTCTACTAGTGACTTTCGTCATATAACTCATGATTAGGACATATTTGGTAATAGGTCTTTTTCAGTAATGTAAAAATTGAGGAATACAGAACGGGATTATGGTACGGCAATTGGAATATATAAGTATTGACCTGCGAGATGATAATAAAGAAAAAATCCAAAAGTGTTGCCAAACCCAAGCAAGTAATCACAGTTATGTATAAAGGAGATAAATTCCTCAATTTCCTTTGAGAAAAGTGTAGCTATATATACAATTTCAATAATATAAAACATATAACCCGCTGTTATGCTTTGAATTATCATACGAAGTATTTATAAAAGAGGGACGAAAGATACCAGAGTGACAGTCAAACTCATAGATCGAAAACAAACTGACAACGCTATGGTCAAAAATAAAAAGACAAACAGACAAACAACAGTACAGACGACACAACACAGAAAACCAAAGACTAAGCAACACGAACCTGTTCAACGACGGAATCAACAGTGCGGAAAATAAGCTTGTGAGAAAAACCAAAATTTAAATTGTGTAAATCGTCAAACGGACGAACCATTGTAGTACAATCATCATATTGCTTGATATTTTACAATAACAGTCATGACATACATAGACTAAAGAAACGAAAGACTTCAATTTATTTCATCAGAGCGGTGAAATATACAGCTGTGTGTTGTGCAACTCTTTGCATTGTAGGTATAATCTTTTAAAATGTTAACAAAATGTGTTTATATATTAGACAGTTTAATGATTTCGCTTTAAGATTTCTATTTATGATTTTTATTCTAAAAAAAATGGTAATCTATGAAATACATACCATGCATCTCCATCTTGATTGACGTTGTCCTGTCATGCATAACGGTAAACCACCTGTTAGTATAAACTGAAAGTAAAATAAAACTAAAAACATACAAAGACGAATGAAAAATGGAAATAAAGAACATTCATAATTTTCGATCTGAGATTTATAAACGCCAAATAATGACCAGATTACGGACATTAATGAAACAAAATACATTTACTAAAATATCGTATTACAACTAAACAATAATGCTTTTTCAGCAGTTTAAGTTGACATTATATTTATGCAACTAACTATGTAGGAATAAAAGTATTGAACACTAAGTAATTCTGGTTTTAAATAAGCACTTTGTTGTGAAACTATCGTAAAATTTAGTATTTCTAGAATTGTAGCCGAAAGGGTCTTATTAATAGTGTTAAAGTTCTCAATTTGTTCGCTTTAATTGCGCACTTTTGTCAAGATAACTCTTGTCTAGAGCAACAAATGATCATCAATACCTTTGTTACATGAGTTAAAAAAGGATCTACCAGACCAGGCTTTGTAGCGTTTTTGGAGGTCTAATATTATATCCTTTGTTTTCCATAATGTCTAGTTGTGTATGTTCATATATATTTTTTTTATCAATAATTCTATTAAATTCACTCTTTCAACATGCTCAAAGATAATAAAAGACGATTTTAACTATTCTGATTTATTAATGACGAGATGTGTGTGAGATGAAAACGAAGTTAAACAAAGCAGATCAGCTAGCAGAAAAGTTAGATTTCCAAATATGCTAAAATACAAACTAAGTCTTAAGTTTTTTTTACTTTATTGATATTTATCATTTCTTTTGTCAATACCAAAGGCAAGAACAGGACGAATGGCAACCCCCAACAAATTATGTTTACTTAATATTGAGAGGAGATACATCAATGTTTCCAGTGATGTTGATTTTTCGTGTGAAATCAAATTGAAACCGTTCCACTAGAAAGAATAAAAAATATTTTAATCAGGTACGTTCCAGGTAAAAAGCTGAGGACAATATATTAATCTAGCATTAAGACGAATCAAAATTAGTCAATAATAGGGCTTCCGTACACTGTACACGATGATTGATTTGATTGTCATGTGTTTAAGAACAATGACATCGTATTCATTGATAAATTGAAGAAACAATTCCGATTCTGTCTATGTAAATGAGTTTTTGAAACAATGTATGTTAACTGTACTTCCAATTTTTAATTATCTGTCTATGTAAATAAATAAGTCTAGGTACCCTTAGTATGTTGATATGTCACACTGGGAACCATTTTGGAAAAACGTTTGTTAAGGTTCACTGTTTTGATATGAAAGATACATGGTATAAATAAGCAGCCTCACAAAACAATAAAACAAAAAATTTTGCAATTAAGTTGAGCAGAGACTACAATTAATAGACATAAATGCCAAATTCCCTATATAAACACAATCCTAATAGAAGAGGGCAACCATAGCCGAAATTTCTAATTTATTTGGTCTAAAAGAGGGACGAAAGATACCAGAGGGACAGTCAAACTCATAGATCGAAAACATACTGACAACGAAATGGCCAAAAATAAAAAGACAAAGACAAATAATAGTACAGATGACACAACATAGAAAACTAAAGACTAAGCAACACGAACCCCACCAAAAATTGGGGGTGTTAATCATCCTAGTGAGGAAAATTCAGAAAAAGCGCGTTGCATTAAACACATGTGTAAACTGCTAATTTCGTTTTTTTTCCTACAATTGACAGCAATATTGACACGTATCTAGTGAGACTGTTTTGAAATTTCAACATTTCAGCAGGTCTTTGATTGGTTTATGTCTAACACATTATTTTCATATAGAGAATGAGGGCTTAACATATCATATAAACACCATATTGTTAAATACTGCATCTTGGACACTAGACATTACCATTTATTAATATAATATTTGTTAACAACATGGAGAAAGCCCTTTAAGTCAAAATGAGTGACTAGATACAAAATAAACTTAAATGGATTTACCGTAAAATGCTGAGTATAAAAAAAATCCCGCAGATTGAATCATTCTTCAAACCAAATTAATCTTAGTAATATCCGGACCCAGTTTTTGGTATCTATATCCTGTTATAAAAGCATTATAGGAATACCATTTTTACATTCATCGACATCATTTAGACACATGAGTATCATAAAACTGAGAATTGTTTATTCCACATGAAGGAATTAATAAAATGCGCCAATCAAGGAATACAATAAAAAACTAATAAAACTCAGGATTCCGGTTTGCATTACCTTTTCATGCATAAGAAGAAATTCTTATATAAAGACATAAAGGGAGACAACGATCACTTTTAATATAAACATAAGGAGATGTGGTATGAATGCCAACTAGACAACTATCCACCAGAGTTCAAATGACCTAGATGAAAACAATTATAGGTCACCGTTCAGCACTAAAAACATTCATACCGTATAGTCATCTATTAAATAATGGATTAAATAAAAGTGAGATGAGTTGAACACTTTTGAAATATCTGCCATTATTGTTAAAAAATATATAATGTGTTCGTAAGAAGTTTAGTAACAAATTGTAATCAACAGCATCAAAGAAAAAACATATGCCATAAGATGAGTCCCTCTAGGAATACCAATAAGGAAAAGATAATTAACAGGAACAAGTAGCAAGGCTTCAACATATGGAACTGGGCCCTTAAATTTAGCTGAAAACGTCCATAGCTCTTGTGGGGCCCTAGACAATACATGTTAGTCTTTTACTTGTCAATACCTTGAATATATACCATATCTCCAAAACGTTTATAGGTGTTATCGAGGAAAACGGTCTTAATCATGCATTTTCTATGTTAGGTGTATAGTCAACCGGATTGATCGAAAGATCATTATTTATCAAATAGAGAAAAAAAAACTTTGTTTGATAAGATTGTACGTTAGTGTTGTATAGAAAATATAACTATAAATGATGACTAAACTTAACTTCAAAGGAATGATCATATAATTTATCAAACACTCACGAAATAGTTAATAACCCTTTCAACCAAAATATTTGTTATATTATGTGATACGAAGTTTCCTAAGTGTAGAAAGTACATAAGTAAGAAAACTTATCTAATGCAATTATTTTGGGTAGAAATCCAATAAATAGTGTGAATTGTGTGTGGTTGAATAGGAGTTGTCAGTTCAGTTGTTGAAATGTTTTCATCGAAGATATCTCATTCGGTAAAAGTAGAAAAACTACAGTTGTATTATAATTTGATACAAATAAGAATTAGAAAATGAATGTGTCTATGAATACACATGCTACATGTACATCGATCTTTAAAGACAAAAATGATGCTAAGCACCAGTCCTATCTCCATTATAACGAATATGTTGTTGTCCCCGCAGATAAAGCTCAAAACTACATCAGTTATGTGTGTAAACTACATTATATAATCTGCTTGATAACGGAGTTAGGCATTGGCAATTCACTTTGAAACTCCACATATACACAAGAAACTTATCAAGGAGGAAAGTTGAACTATCATAGGTCTGTTGTATTTTTCTTTGAAAATTCAACCAAAGATGAGGAGCTGAATCTTTCGTCTTTGCATTTGATACCTAAATTACATAAAGAGTCCTTACATACACTGCTATATTGCTAGGTCTTACCCACCTACTCTAGTGGAGGCGTGAATCAGATGCGGATACTAAAAACTCAAAATATCTGTTGTAGTATATACAATCTAACTCTTTTTCCTCTTTCAATAGTATTAAAACATTTGACTTTTCTTCACCTTATTCAAGTATTCCTATTCCAAACTAGAAGACAAATTGAAGAATTGATTCTGCTTTGTTTCATAAAAAAGAAAGTCCAACGTTGATACAAGTATCTTATCTTTATCATGGCGGGATAAATCTTCCTTTGTAAAAAAGAGAGTAAGTTACTGTGAAACCCGGCTTTGATTGCCAATAAAATAAACGTTATCAGTTTAGAAAGAGGATCTCTTGGGTAATCGGCCGACTCATCAATAAAACGGTGATTCTAAGGACACTTATATAATTTTGGTATCCAGTACAGTGAAATAAAATGCAGTTCTTCATCTTTGGTTGACATTCCAAGGGAATATAGAACAAAACTATGATTTACGATTTCATCTTTAGAAGTGTCGTTATAGTATATAGGTATAGTTGTTTTCCATTCGTTTGAGGTTTTGATTTTGCCATTTGATAAAAGACTTTCCGTTTTGAATTTTTCTTTGAGTTCGGTATTTTTGTTATTTTAGTTTTTTTTCCAAATAAATTGCCAATACAAAATTCCATTATCCATAAGTTTATGTAATGTGATTTACAAACACACAACATTGTTCGGAACTTTAATGCAGAACAACTACATATTTGAATTTCAATAGCAACATTTGGGTCTTTTAAGATACAGATGCAGATGTAGTATGAGTGTTCAAAGACCCAGTTAGTTTTTTAATCCTAATTTGTATCAACAACGTGTCTTTCTGACTCATAAAACCTGTAACATGGATTTATCATGTTTATACATGTATACACATTTTAGACGCCTTGACGCTCAGTAGTGAAATAAGACGTAACAAACACCATCGGAATTATAAATGTAACAACATAAATACTAAAATTTAAAATTAGGGTAATATTATCTTCAATTGTTGAAGTATTCTCTAGAAAAAATAATCTAAGGATACAGTTACCATTAAATTTGACTTACCCAACCTGAAAAAGCCATGCCAATTATATCCATTATAAGGATGGTGTTTGTTTGTCTACAATGATATGAAGACATATACACTTCAATACCGTGGTTGTTGTGGTAGTTTTTGCAACGACTGGTAATCTCAGTGTTACTTATAATAGCTCCAACCATACCAAGGATACAACATACGATACCTAGAATGATCTGTAGTCCACCAAGGATCCGTAGTGCTCTAATCCGTGATATGCGTTCATTTGGTTGCACTGGGTGTGTTTGCATTACACTTATATGAGCATCGGTGTTCATATTTACATTCTATGAAAAGATAATCATGCACGCATTAAAATATTGTGTTTCGTTGGTGATGGTTTACACCGATTTTTTTTATGATCAATCTTGAGATAAACTCTTATATTACAAAAGCCATATCGAGTTTTCAAATCAACTAGAATACCACGAAGACAAAAATAATACTAATAATCTAAAGATCATTTCCTCAATAAATCGATTGATTGCGTGTGTTAAACGCCACTTTCAACACTATTGACCATTTTTGTGCTGGTCAGTTTTTGTTTGTGTAGAAATAAATCGAGAACGTATATGGTAAAAGGTTAAAGGCGGGACACGATTGTTATTGTGGTCTTCATGTATATCAGATAACAGACTAAAACATTGACTATTGATGTTTTCGATTTTTCGTCTTCAAAACGGTACCAACTTCTAAAGCATTGCATTTAACCAGCATGTATAATTGACAAAAAAAATATGTTATTATGATTTGTTATTGTATGTCTAACATCAAGTTTCAAATCATACAGGTTATTCAGGATAATAAGAAAATTAAACATAAAATAAATTATATATGATCTTGGGACTTGTAAGTGGGCTGTCGTGATGAAGGACAGAAAATTGAGAACTATAGTTTCAAACTGAGAGTATGTTGGAAAAGGGCAGATATTTTACATTTCCAGACATCACCTACAAACATGACAAAGAGTAATTGCATTACATGGTAAAATAAAGGAAATGAGGTAAACGTATAGGCGTCAACAATGTCAAATTTCATACCGTATATGGTTAGCTATAAAGGCTTCCGGCATAACTAAATGCAAATCAATTCAAATCAGAAAGTAAAAGGCCTCTTCTAATCAAAACAATACACGAAAAAAAAAATTGGTAGACGTCATAACAGACGACCACTAAATTACAGACTCATAATTTTAGGAAGACACATACAGAATGTGGCGGGGCTTTAAATATTTATGAGGGCGCATCCATCACTCTCACATGAGGCAGTGGCAATGACATTCTTTGAAAAAAAGTATCAAAATCAATTGGAAAGTGCTTTAAAAAATGAAAAACCGGTTGTGAGTAAAGCTCAAGTGAGAATACCGCTATACCCATGGATAGCCATTTGGGTCTAAAGGTAATAAATGTTATTAGTGTTTTATTACAAGATATGTTTTCATACGTTCCTAATTAAAAAAAAACATTATATAATGAGATTGTTATACTTTTGTCAAACTTTAGGTTGGATTTGTTTGTTTAATTGTGGACAACACATTATCTTACAGTTAGAACGTGCATGTCTTCTTCAATGTTTTCTTATACGTTTTAAACTGAACTAAATGTACTTTCATCCAATGGAAAAATGGATAAAACTGTAGAAAAAACCTCCCCATTGCATGTTTTTTGATATGGTGGTACATACAATGTTTTTCTTAATTCTAAGTCAAAATAACTAAATAAATATTTATAAATTCTAAAAATAATTCATGGTTGATTCTAAGTCATGTGTTTGGCTATTACATCAAATGAAAATGTTATGTTTAGTGTTTTAATCAATGTTTACCCAATGTCCTGTATGATTATTTAGGTTTGATTTGTTTGTTTGATTGTGGACAACACATTATCTTTCAGTTAGAACGTGCATGAATTCTTCAATGTTTTTATGCTTTTTAAACTGAGGTAAATGTACTTTCAACCAATGGAAAAACGAATAAAACTGTAGAAAAAACTTCCCCATTGCATGTTTATTGATAAGGTGGTACAAACAATGTTTTTCTTAATTCTTGGTCAAAATAACTAAATAAATATTTATAAATTCTAAAAATAATTCAATGTTGATTCTAAGTCATGTGTTTGGCTATTACATCAAATGAAAATGTTATGTTTAGTTTTTAAATCAATATTTACCCCCATGTCCTGTATGATTATTATAGTTTGAACACAGGTACTAAAAAGGAATATGTCATAACCACAAAATTTCACCCACAGCACTGGGTAATTTTTCTGTATTCATGTCCCCAAATCCCTTGTGCTGCCGCCTAAGAAAACAGCAAGCGTTAAATACCTTTTCTTTCTTGATCTTCACCATTCAGAATGTCCTTCACCTGTTATGACGGTTAGATCCGGTATATTGAACAAATAAATGTAACGTAGTAGGTTATCTCTATGTTATCTATTGTTTGCCTGATATGCTTGAAAAAGAAATTTATCTTGCGGATAGCTTTTTGTTCAAGTAATCAATACTTAACAAACAGAAGTGGTTTAATATACTTTTAATAGAAAATTGGATTTAATGGTGATTAAACAAATCAGGAAGGAAAATGCACGCCAAACACAATGATAAGGGCAAACGGCTTATAGATTATATCAACAGATCTATAGTGTAATCTAGTGCAGACAACAGGTACGATAAGGATGAAAATTTTGGAAAACGAACTATTTACATTTTACTGAAAAGTTGAGGGAAGGGATACATAAGATATTCATGCACTGAAATTTAGGATTGAACAAAAAATAAATCACTGATTATAATGCATTAAGAACGAGATTTAAACTTTCACACAATCGTATAATTCATGTGTAATGGGCATTGGAACATTCAATAATATAATTGAGTAATTTTAGCTTAGGATACTTCCTGGTAAACGACAGATAACTCAAAGTGAAACATATGTCATCGCTATTTACAAATGTCTTATATATCCCGAGACTACAATTAATTATGTTATGCTGTTTTTTAAAACAATGAAAAAAAATGAAAAAAATTACAACCCCAAATCTCAATATTGATATAGTGTAGTGTACTACATTTTGGAAAAATATGTATATAAGAACACAGTATTTACAGGCTCTTTCTCAAAATTTTGACAAATGTAATAAATCATGCACTTTAATTGTTCATTTGTAGCTTATCCCAGGGAAATATGATCTTATTGTTGATCGTTAATTTTTTATTTGATAAAGTGACAAAAACTCAATATATCAAACAAATTGTCTATTTCTTGGCGGCCACATATTGAACGAATGCACTGCATTTTCATAAACGTTTGTAGTACTTTGACGAATTTAATAATTTGATAATTTGGAAGCATCTACATCAAAATATAATCAAAGAATTCTTGTGGAGAAGTGTATGACTTCTGGTCGGCTTTACTGTCTTCCTCACTCGATTTCGTCATCTGTCCTCCTGATATAGCATAAGTAATACAATTGTCGTTTCAACAAAGATGTAATGCTTGGAACTAAAATTTAAATATTAACGTCCACATACCTACTTTTCTCCCCAAAAACATAATCCTGCCTGTACTCTACATTTAATTTGAACAAGAACCATCATTATCGACATGTTATCACAATGAAAATGTTCTTATTTGTAAGGTATCCTTCCATCAATAAGTAACCAAAGCGACAGGTAAAATTACCAACTAAGTAATGTCACGTAATAAAACTTTGTCCCAATTACTTGGACATTTTAAAATTGACCCAATTAAGTCAGCTGCATAACCTAATGGATTACCACCTGCACTGTCAGTATACAAATGTAAATCAGAATTTGAATCCCAGTCTACATCTGGGTATAAGTACAGCCGTTACATTCATTACGAAAAAAAACTGCCTGATTTGCAGACCATTTCGTATTCCTTTTGTCGATCTTTAGATTGTACGGTTTTCTTAGCATTTTTAAAAGAGCCATATAGACACCTCATTTATGCCCTGCCTAAAGTCGGAGCCCGTTGACTGAAAGCCATTGAACCTAATAAAGACTGCATTTCTTTGAGAGTTTTTTCCCCATGCCCCATTTATTAGATTTGTTTAGTTTTTAAACGTAAACTTAAATATTTAAGATTTGTGCAAGGACCATCAGTTTTTTCAATGAATATCAGGACTGTTAAGCAAAAATTGAAAATGCATTGAAAAGAAGGAAAAAGACATCATAATGACCTTCTCTTACAAACAAAACATCATCATGATAATGTTATAAATTTTCCAAATGCATTTTATAATTAACTGACCAATGCCAAAACGGACGACAACTCATAGAATATCCAATGGACATCGATTTTTGGATATAGTAATCGCTATTCAGCTTGATACCACGGGTAATATGTTAACGCAATGAAAATGCTGATTTGATATCCATTGAAGCTGATATTTGTTTCAATATTTCTAAATAATCTTGACTGCGCTATCAAATGATGAATTATATACCTGGTAAATTGATGCTTTCGTTGAGAAGATACAACAAATGAGTTATCATTGTATGGTCACCAATTTTATTTATGAACTAATCCAAATGCTGTCAGTTTTATAAATTTGTGATTTTTCTCTGTTTTAAGAATACAATGCATATTATTGCAACTTCTTTGTTATAAATGATTGAACAAATACATATCTAAGAAATTTGAAAAGAAAAAAGTGATATGGGATGTACATGTTTCTGGTAAAATCATTTCCTTTACCCCTGACCCATTTTCTCAAAATTTTGGCTAAAAAGACTGACTTGATTGGTAATAAAATTTGAAAAATTTATTACTCAAAAACTACTTATTGTAAATACACAATTTTTTCACAGAGTTAAGTTTGATTGTGATATTTATCAAATGCGTTGCTATTTCCAACTTATATCACACGTTTTGGAAATATTTCCAGAACGAGATTTCAACGAGACTGAAACGTCAAAAGATTACATCCTCAAGTAAAATAAAATATTAATGTATTTATACACACAACGTTATCTTAAAGAAAAATAAATACATGTTAATGCATTTACGCAATTGGATTTGAATATCAAAACATTACTACAAATCCACCACAATGTAAACATTTGAATAAATAAAACAAACATCGTTTATTGACGGTCTACCTTTTTCAACTACCCTACTTAAGCAGGATTAGAAAGATTCACTTTGTAATTGAATAAAGATTAAATGAGTAACAAATCATACACTACGTTATTACTTATTTCCTGTTCACGATGAATCACTCACACATCGATTAAATAGTAAACTAACATATTACCTGTACGTTAGTTAAACACATTGCTTGACACTAATCAATGATTCTAACATGACGTTCTTCAAACGCTTTGAGTACACACCCGTGGTAAAATATGAATATATTGTTTGGGCTGTTCCGATCGTACTCCCGCGTCATATGCTTTTTTGTGAATGAGCTACCCGACGTCATAGAACGATGACGTAAGAATATAAGCATTTTACGGGAAAATACACGCTTGTGAAACCGAAAATCATCACAACAAGGAAGCGTAAACAAACGATGCTAAAATGTGTTATATAAGCCTTTTTTGTATACATATAAGACATATAAGTACAATTATCATTTAGATTCATCCAAACCTATCTAAATATGTTATTGTAAATAGTTTAAGCATGTCATTTATTCAATTTGCTCCGGTCTTTTACGTCAATTTAATAGTGCGTTTATTTATGGGAACGGCAAATAATGCCTTCATATAGAGCGCTTCGATCCAAAACAATTGCCGTATTTGTCCTATTAGAATCGAAATAATTCATGGGGGCTTGAATATATCGTGATTTTACCACGGGTTGTCCCTTTATGCCGATATTTTACCCCTCGCTATCGCTCAGGGTAAAATATTTGTCATAAAGGGCCAACCCGTGGTAAAATCACGATATATTCAAGCCCCATGAATTATTTCTTAATTAATCTATATGTGCACATTGTGACTTATTTATCAAATTATACTTTGTTCAAAACAAAGCACGAAAAACATGCAATTCTTTAGCAAATAAAAACAAAAATGCCGCTATTAAAGTTGAAAATAGTATGCAAGTAAAAGTAAGGCGCTCATGTCATAAGAATTAAATGAAAGTTAATTCTTGTTTAGCAGACGATACTTTCAATTTATTTAATTTATTTGATGCTTATTGATTAAATCTTATTCAACACAATGCTTGAGAGAAAATATATGCAGCAAAATTGCTAAACAAATTATGATTGACAAATCATTTCATCGGTCTTTAACATTGGGATGACTGCTAAGGAGTTTAAGATTTGATGTATTTGAAGGAGACAAAACAGGGGTAGGAGTTTGAAATATTTGTATATATATAAGTATATTTGTTTTCATTCTGGCTTTTACGTACATTATTTATGTGAACGCAGCAGTGAGTAAAACATATTTATTGAATTTGATTGTACTTGTATAGCTGTAGTGTTTGTTTTTATACATAATTTGTTATAGAAAAGATTCTTGATCAATAATAACAAGAATAAGCTAGAATCGATAACAATAAACCATATATGTCGAATAGTGTTATATCCTATTAAGAGGATATTATTGCATAATGCAGATACATTTCAAGTATGACATTGTGTTTCTCTCCTTCTCCAATGTAGACAGTGTATATATTAACTGAATGCTTTTTTAATTTCTGTCATACCAAATTTTCGTTTATCATTACAGCATAGAATCGACATATTGAATATTCATTATTATTTTTTCGATGTTTGAATTTGTCCAAATTGTGTCATGCCATGGCCTTTGATGCCCCGTGGTATGATATTTGCTCATTACTAAAGGCCGTACGGTTACATATAGTTGCTTACATCTGTCCCTTTGTCTGTGATTGATAATTATCTCATTGGCAACATTACCATATCTTTTTTTTTATAATGTAAAACCATGTTGTTGTGGGTGCTCATTCTGCTTTGTTGAATGTAGTAATTCGCAATTATTTCTCATCGGCATGGGACGACGTTACACATGTAACTCCGATACAAAAATTTCGAAAAAATTTCACGTTCTCTATATTTGAAATAACAGTGCAGTAATTATTAGCATGATCTGAAGGTGACCTACGGGGAGTTTTTTGGACATAGATGCACTGGAGGTTAGGCAAATAACAATCAATTACAATAACATAGTTATATGAAAGTATTGTTACTAAAATATGCGGGTTTAACATGTTTTTTGCGAAACAATTTAGTGACTAAATATCATTTTTGTGTTTGGGAAGAGAAGAAGTTGAAAACATTTTTATCTGTTATCTGATAAAATCATAAACCACATTGACAATCATATTCTCCTTTTTCACACGCGTCACATGTTTACAGAGACTTCGATCCATAATATTTCTTAATTATTCATGCGTCTTTACGCTAGACTGATCCTGTGAAAATTCAATACGGCTTTTTGTACAGAAAGCAGTTGTCGAAAATTTGACTTTCCTGAATAACAATCACCGATCAATGTTAAGAATACTCAATATTAGCTATGAATTGAATATTTCAAATAATATATATGTTTATTATTTTTTAACTTTATAAAATGTAAATAAGTAAATGCACCGATCAAAGATGTTAACTTTTGCAACTGGATCAACGACCCTATCTCTATCAACAAAATTATGTAACGTTTAAACACATAACTTCAAATCTAGATACGTTTACCACATGTTAGGGACAAAAACAATGTTTCGATGGATACCAAAGTCTTCGAATTAAAATATTTTATTTTCTGCATGATTTCTTTACACATGTTACATAGATAATGATCACCGATGTTCGAACAGGTCCAAATCAAACACATCAAGTACAACCAGATGTACGCGCATCACGAGTAAAAGCACTTCGAATACTGGGTGGACTACAGATCGGTCTAGGTCTTGTATATGGTATCCTTTGTATTGTTGGAGCTATTCTATGCCGCACCGACTTGGACAGTGGTTGCAAATATTATAACTACTACAGCAGATACGGTGGTCATTTGTCTGGATCTACATATTATCGTTGTGGACATTCAAACACTATCCTTATAATGAATCTAATTGGCATGGCATTATCAGGTTGGGTAAGTCAAATTTATTAAATCATATAATGCCTCTAAGTCACACCCAGGAGTATCTCTTATTTTATATTAAAACATGGTGACATACATTTCTGATACGTGATGGTAACTTTGGATCGGTGTTCGTTTTGCTCAGTTTTTAGTTTTCTATGTTGTGTTTTGTGTACTATTGTTTGTCTTTTTTCTTTTTTAGTTATGGTGTTGTCAGTATATGTTTGACTTATGAGTTTGAATGTCCCTTGGTATCTTTCGTCCCTCTTTTGACTTATGAGTTTGAATGTCCCTTGGTATCTTTCGTCCCTCTTTTGACTTATGAGTTTGAATGTCCCTTGGTATCTTTCGCCTCTCTTTTAGAATTTAATTAACTTTATCTACGAATTGAATTACCTTGGAATTCGGTATGTTTTTAATTTTATCTTTTATCAAATACTTTTGTTAAAGTTTGAAAAAAAACTAAAATGGCATTTTCTACAGTTATAATTAAAATGTTGTGTGTTAATTCTTATTTTTTAATGAATGTTATGTCAAACAAAGGACGTATAATTTAGTGTATTTGATTAAACATGTACTATTAAAATATAAGTAAAATGTATACCATATGCTGGTAATCTTTCACATGATTTTGTTTAAATGTTCTATACAAAAAGGCACTTATTTAAGTGTTCTATACAAAAATGGCACTTATTTAAATGTCCTATACAAAAAGGGCACTTATTTAAATGTCCTATACAGAAAGGGCACTTATTTTAACATATTGAAAATTCACTATTTACCTTTGATCTGGATTTTTATCGGACACAATATTTTTGTTTACAGTGGACATACGCAAACAAAGTTAATGTTGAATTCCTTCAAAAATTGACTTTGTTTACTGCCCATGACAGTTATTTCAAAATCACATACAAATAAGTAAATCACCCTAAGACTAAGTTTGTTTCTACCTTAAAAAAAGCTAGCCTTTGATTTGGCTGTTCTGATTTGTTCTTTCTAAGTTTTCATCTTACACACGTTTTCCTCATGACTCGAGGTAAAACAGAATAGTCAACACGCGCGTAGCAACCCGTACGCAAAAACGCAGTTGCGTACACATCGAAAATTTGACAAAAATAAAAATATGGCAAATCTAGTAAGAATAAAACTAAAGTAATAGAATAAATTAAAAAGTATTATAAAAATATGCTGATAGTCACTTTATAACTATATTTCGTTCCGGAAACTAGTCTACTCTTTTCAATCGTGATTGTGTTGCTGATGCAGACAATTAAAATAGCTGAGTCCTCGGGTGTCAGAACACAATTGTTACGGCTGCAATGTCTCCTTACCCTGACATCTTTTCTGAAGATTTCAAAATAACTGATGAAATAAAATATGACGTTCTTGGGCAACAAGTCATTCTTATGATTATCCTGTGAGATATGTATAGTCCTACATAGGTCGTCATCATGAACAGATTTTTTCAAACAGTCCAGACAAACTTAATTTAAACTTAAGATTGTTAATGGTAATTTTCTTGCAACGTCTTCGCCGTTTTTTTTTTATTTGACGACCAACGGGTTTTTACTTTTTTATTCTGCGTTCGGTCGTGCAAGACGGGTGCCTCGTTCAACGTGTTCCCCCGATTTAACTATACGTGCCTCGAGATTAAAAGTGCTTATTCTCCATGTTCATTTAAAGTGCTTGTTCTCCTTGCTTGGTAAAAATAAAATACTCTCGTTTTGGAAGTTGATAAATAGAAATCGGAAATAATTTGAGGCTTTTCCTTGTAGATTTCGGGACTTCAAACGTATTTATATATAGTTAAAGAATTCCAAATTATGATATTATAAACAAGGATTTATACTCGGGAAACCTTAATATACTTAACTTTATGCATGTATGCCGGTCTCGACGGCAACGACAGAACGATCTTTCGGTACCATGAGAAGACTAGAGAAATACAATGAAAAACCAATCGTTTATCTGGGCTTGGTCTATTGAACATATACCGTGAAAAACAGATTTCAACAGACACATTTTTGGACATCTTCAGTAGAGAAAGGAAAGGAAATGGTCATTGACTTTCAGAATTAACTTTAACAATTAAAAGCTAAAAGAAAGACTGTTTGTTCTCTTATAACATAAAACATAGAGAAATGTGATTCCATTTATTTATGTATTTTCTCAATAAAAAAATCCATTTAAGTTGCACGGTGTTGGCTTAGAAATTTGAATTTTCTAATGTATATAGTGGGTTGAGACTGATTAGGTAACAATTAAAATATATAGTGGTGGCACTATATATTTTAATTGTACCTAATATATATACAAGTTCTACCAAGTTTACTTTCTCTAAATCGCGAGAATGCAGGATTTTGCCACATTTACTCCAGAGCTTCTGGGGGCCTTGAGCGGCCCCAGACCCCTCGCCGTATGACTTCCTTCCCCGGCATTGAGTACACATCATTTTGGCCTAGCTACGCCCCTGGTCAAGAATCGTCGTTTGTAAATTTTGTTAGATTGTTTCAAAATTGAACTTTTAAAAGATATTTTGCCCAAATTGAATAAACAGTAGAAAGACGAAACCTGACTGTTAAAAAAAGATTTAAGATGAAAGAATGGGCAATGAGTTATCAATACACTTCAATGCACATAGAGTTTGCCGATTGGATAGACACGGTATGTATAATGTCCGGCGGAGATCGTGTGTTTTCGAGTGAATCAGTCCACTTTTTTCGAGTGTAGATCGGGTTTTTTCGAGTGATCAAAAATGCGATCAGGCCAATTAACTGCTATTTCGCAATTATGATAGTTTTATTCATGACCGTCCATGTTATTTTGAACACTATACAAGTTTGAGCACAAAAGACTCACAATTTCGTTGTATTTAACCTAAAATTCACTTCTTTATATTGTCCGTGTTTTTTCGAGAGCAACAGTTAAAACGTCTAGGTTTTTTAACAAATGGTCCGGGTTTTTTTTTAAGAAAATATGAAGAAGAAAAAAGACATTCTTTGGCTTAAAAACTGACTTATTCTAGTTTGTAACTGTAATTTAGCGATAAACAATAATATATATTCTGAATAAGTGACAAAAACAAATTAGTATGTTGATCAAATTTAACCATTTTCAATTTAATTATAACTTTCTGTTCTAAAAACATTTTACCATAACCTAGCAGTATTACGATATATAAGAAACCAATGAGTCCGTTTTAAAACGGTGGTTAGAACCGAATACAGGGACTCATTATCTTTTAAATCATTGCATGCTGCCTTTGTTTTATAGTCAATAATATTTAATGATTGTTATATATTACAGCGACGAAAAAACATAGGAGCAAGGAAACTAAGAAAAAGGAGTAAACAATCAGAAAATTCCCATATGAATCCAAATATTCTACTAAAAGTGTACCCACCCCTCCCCCCACCAAAAAAAAAAAAAAAATAAAATAAAAATTAATAAATTACAATAACATTTGAATTGACTGGAATATCTAATAAAAAATGAAAAAAAAAACACTTTGAATGTTATGCTATATGACCAAAAGGACCTATAAATTAGCCAAATCCATCTAATTAGCTCATCTTTGTCTGATTGAGTTGAAACCTTAGCCTCTTTATGATTTTTAAATTCATGTACGGATAATTCTAAATGATTGATTGTTGGTTGCTTAACGTTCACATGGTTCAGTTGCTAAATGTGTCATGCATGTTCCGGACGAGAACAAATTTACAGTAAATCCAATAAGTAGGCCCTGTAACAGAGGACGTTCGGGGTAAACATGATAAAGGTCGAGAAATTTAGACTGTCACTGAAAATGAGAGTTTATTGGATATGGACAGAAATTTTGCCTTGCAAGAAGCCACCTACGGGCAATTCAAAGAGCTATTGCAAGGGTTCTTAACGTGCTATGAGCGAAGCACTCTCTCTACACGCCGGGCTGCGCCCCATTCTGCACGGACGTTGCTGCGTACTTGAACATCCCACACAACCAAGAGACGTTTTACTTTGCCAAGGGTCGATCGGAAGAGGACTTAAGTGACCATAATTCTATTCCACTGTCCCCCTTGGAGGTAAATAATTTTAGAAAGGTATGTTATACAACATGTCAATACCGAAATACTGACTACTGAGCTGATAATAAACTCGGGGACTTGTCCAATGTATTAAATAAACAACGAAATAAATAATCTGTAAGCTTCAATACAAAATTAAGACTTTCACTGAAAATGAGAGTATATTCTATATGGACAGTTATGTCCAAAGAGTTTTGCAAAAATTTGAAAGATTAAAATTTTTGAAATAATAATAATAACAAAAACAAAAAGGATTAAAAACATTTTTTTTCAAATTTTTTGCAAAAAAAAAAATAAATCCAAGTGAAGAAAAAAATATTCCCCAAATAATCAAAACTTTCAAATTTTCAACAAATAAAAAAAGATAATATTTGACAATGCAGAGCAACTTCGGTGTTGAAAAATGGGAAATGGAAGTTGGTCATAAGATTTTTAAAAAATTGTATTCCCGGGAATAAAAAAGTAAACGATAGCTAATTAAGAAATAGATTCGTTATCTTGGTGCAATCAAGGGTGTACGGAATTTAAGACCGGTGTTGAAAATGCATACGACCTTCGGCTGCGCCTCAGTATGTATAGATTTTCAACACCGGTGTAAAATTCTGTACACTCCTGAATACACCAATATAGCTAATTTTCCATCAAGACAAATAGTAAATGAAACATTTAGGATATATTTTCTGTAAAAAAAAACACATTTACCCGCTTTACACTCTATGTGTACGTACGTCTCAGTCCAACATGTCTGAGCTCACATAAAGATTGTTTACGTCACGAAATATTTACTTAAATCCATATCGGTACACTAACATGAAGATTTCAGACTGCAAAGGAACGATGAATTTTTATGAAATGTACGTGTTAATACATCATTATCAAACAGGTTTAAAGCATTGTTTCGTACTTTGAAAAGTACTTTATTTGAACCTTTTCATTGTTCTTTAAACTTAAATGCACTGACATCACGGGTAGTAACCTCGTCATATCGAGAAGCGTTTAGTACAGTGATTTTGTCATAGTTTGGTTAAGATGAACATGGTTGTGTTAAGTTACTTCCCCGAACAATTGCCTCAGTTCTATTCAAACGAGCAAATAAAAAGCAAATAAGATGTTTGAATTTGCATTGTTAGTCAAACGATCTACATTGGAATTGTTGTTTTCAAGAAACAAACGCAGAATAAGCAAACTATCGAAATTGCTATGGTTTGGTTAAGTTATGACATGGTTCGGTTAAGTGTCTAGAAATTCGTCATGGTTTTGATCAAGTTTGTCATGGTTTAGATCCAAATTAATATATATTTGTTTCAGCTCAATATTGATAGTTTGTTTAAAAACGCTTGTAATTAAACGAGGTTACACAATTTACCAACTGACTAAAAAGAAAAAAAGCCTTTTAAACCAAAATTAGATGCTGTAATTGGCAAAACGTACATTAAACAATTTAACTACTCGTGACTTGTCTTAGTATGCAAATCGTACTACTACGAGTGTCTTGTAAAAGGATTAGGAATAAATAAGCACTCATGTAATCCCACATACAAAAACATCATTTGACAAGGATGAGATTTTGGTGATTCATAAGTCCTTAATAGCTTCAATGAACATTACTTTGAGCAGCAAATCGGAGGACTTACCTTGTTTGTATTGGATACCTAAGCTTCACAAAATTCCATACAAACAGCCGTACATTGCCAGCTCATCTGCATGTTCGACGAAAGAATTGTCCATTAGATTGACAAAGATTCTTTCTGCAATGAAAGAGGGTTTTCAGAAATACCGTGTAACTGTTTACTCGCGTAGTGGTATTAACCATATATGGATTAAAAAAAAAAACTCTTAAAGAACTTCTGAATAAATGTAAATCTCGATCTTTCTCTGAAATTAGTTCTATCAAAACGTTTAATTTTTTAACCCTGTGTACCACCATTCCCTATGTGTAATTGAAAAATCGTCTAAAAGAAATAATTTAAATCTACAATGCTTTTCAACATAAAAATGGTAGCGCACGCTATACGTTTATTACTTTTGGATACCATACGGCATATTTTGTTAATAGTGAACAAAAAAATAAAACATGCTACACAGAGGAACAAGTGACCAGTACGCTGGAGTTTCTTATTGACAACATAGTTGTTGAATTTGGAGGTAGACTTTGTCACCAAATTATCGGTATTTCTATGAGAGCGAACTGTGCGGCAGCGACGTCTTCTTATCTTCATTTAGTCGGAGTTCCTTCAGACATTTGTAAAAAACAAGAAGATCAAAGAAGCCATATCATTTAATTTCACATTCATATATATTGTTCTTTCCATTAACAATCCCCAGACTTTTCTGATTGAATTCCATTAATATATCCCTCAGAACTAGAAATTAAAGGAACAACAGACACGGCTTCCTCTGCCTCATTTTTAGACTTATACCTCGAATTTGGCATGAGCGGTCATCTTAGTACCAGAATTTATGACAAACAAGACGATTTTAATTTTGAAATTATCAGTTTTTCCAACCTTAGTAGCAATATACCAACTTCTCCTGCATATGGGATATACATTTCCCAACTCATTCGATATTCAAGAGCTTGCAGATGCTACTCAGACTTTGTAAACCGTCACCAGTGTCTGAGCAGAAAGTTGATGAGCCAGTGGTTTGTCAAAGAACGTCTCGTCCTTTTTCCAAAAGAGTTCATCGGAAGACCTTGTGGGTAAATATTCCTTTTCAACTTCACAAATAATAAACGATAGTATAGATTCTAAGTACTGACGTTGTTTGTCATCTTAATGACGTGTTATTGTACTCTTTTTTTTTTTTTTGTCTTTGTAAATTATTACTTTAACTGTTTAGTCTATTTTTGGCCCAATCCATTTGACGTGGCTCGGTACTTATACATCCCGTCATTGTGTTATTGTGCTATGGTAAATTTTAGTATTCTTGTCTTTCGTTTTTGCTTATGTGCTTTGTCTATATGCCTTTTTGTTTTTCTTTGTTGAAATATTTGTTTTGTTTTTATAGTGACTAAGATTATAACACAATGTTGCCTGCTGTACCTTTATTTTTTTACATTTTTAACTATTATGTCTGTTTGTTTTGTTCACACATCGTCGTCAATATAATGGAATTTTATGCGACTGTCATACATATGAGAGGTGAAGCTGGCTATAAAACCAGGTTTAATCCACCATTTTCTACAGAAAAAAATGTCTGTACCAAGTCAGGAATATGACAATTGTTATCCGTTCGTTTGATGTGTTTCAGTTTTTGATTTTGCCATTTGATTAGGGACTTTCCGTTTAGAATTTACCTCGAAGTCCCGTATTTTTGTTATTTTGCTTTTATAATTTAAATAGTCTCTGCTCTTTTAAACTATCTTTTGAGATAATAATTACAAAAAACAGAAAGCGCTGCTTCTGTTTCACATAGATTATTTGTCCATGATTGACTCTGTCGATGATATCGTGAGCGGCATCACTTGTTCAATTTGTAAAGTTGCAAAACGTATCAGCTTGTCAAAAAGTAATTTTTGTTCTTCTTTTTTTTTTCTACTAAACTATATATCTGTTGTTTTATTTTGAACCAGTCTATGAGGAATAAAAGGAGATGTGGGGTTATACGCCCATGCTATAGTATCCCAACTACAAAACTAACCAAACGATACCAAGAAGACACAATAAGTCTTCAATCATCCACGAAACAAATAGTTAACGCGTGACGTGGACAACAGTTAAAACTTATTTGTTTTACAAACTATTAGTAAACATAAAAAAAAAAAAAAAAAAATACAAACAAGTTCAGAATTCAAATATATGAAAAATCACAATTCCGAATTAGAATGAAGCCGATTTAATGTCCACTTTTATCAATTATTATTACGAACGAATAAAAATGATTATGTTTTTGTAATATTGTATAATACATTGGTTTTCTCATTTAAATTATTTATACATATAATTTTGTCGGAGCCTTTTATAGCTGGCTAAAAGGTATGGATTTTGTTCATTGTTGAAGGCCATACGACGACATATAGTTGCTTACATCTACGTCATTTTGGTCTCGGGTGGATAGTTATCTCATTGGCAATCAGACCGCATGTACTTAATAATATATTTAATACTACATTTAATGTGCGTATATATGTCTTTTGTATTCCAAATTAAACGATTTAAAAAATAGTATTTCAATATATATAATGTCTGTTTATTTTGATCGTTACACTCTTCCTTCATTCACGAATAGAATCACATAACTGAACCATGTTCAACATGAAATAAACCATGACACGAATGAACCAAACCATGACACCGAATATTCTGTAATCTCAAATTGTGTGCACTAGGGGCTGTTTTTCGGGAAAATTGACGGCAGTTTTATATCATAACAAAATATGTGATGTAGCAGACAGTAAGCAAACCACTTTTCTTTGTGCATTAGAAACGAATCACAACTTTTAAATTTTGACATACGCAAGCATATTCTGTGTCAAATTGATAACTATATGATACAAATTTTGATGTGATAACATATTAGCTATAAACAAAGATACTTACCCGCTTGAATTTGTTGTCATTAGTTCCTTTAACAAACTATTCGAATGTTTATATTTTGAAACTGTTTGTCAACAAAAACACTTAACACAACCATGTTCATCTTAACCAAACTATGACAAAATCACTGTACTAAACGCTTTTCGATATGACGAGGTTACTACCCGTGGACATATTACATCTTAAGCCAAAGGAATTTAGTTTTTTCACTCGATAAGGACACACTCGAAAAAACACAGACATATAGAAATTAATTTACTCTCCAAAATGTCCTTTTCAATGCAAAAACAAGAATTTTTGTAAAGTGTATATATATCTAAATAGACATAAATTCCATGTGCACATTTCTGTTGACATTTGCATTGGTATGTGTATAAAATTGCTTTAACCAATATTTTGGATTAAAGCATGTAAGGCTAAATTAAATGTTTTTAAAGCAAAATAATGTAAGGTTGATAATATCTTTTTATCAAAAATACTAATTTACTTTTTATGATCTTGTATATAAGGTTCTAGCATCTTTTTTTTCTCGTTTTACCAGAAAGGAAGTCTGTTTGTTTGCATTTTTGATTCTATTCACTAGACAAAAAGTGGTCACACTCGAAAAAAACCGATCAAATCACTCGAAAAACCTCGATCTAAGCCGGACACTATACCTACCGTGATAGACAAGTCTTATATTATCTTTGTGATGTCCGTGTTATGTAACAAAGATATTTCATTCACCTTTGTCTAGGTTGTTCATTTTTTTATTTGCAGTTTATACTGACAGGTTGTGTACCATTATGCATGACAGATCAACGTCAATCAAGCTGGAGATGCTTAGTATGTACTTCATAAATTGATAATTTTATAGTAAAAACCAATCTTAAAAGATTAGATCATTACCCTGTATATATAATGTAAAAACATTTTGATGACTTTTGTTTAGATTATACTCATTATACAAACAGTTGCAAGGAACAGAGCTTTTCACTACTCTTTTCTCCTTCCGGAGCACCTGAGATCACCCCCAGATTTAGGTGGGGTTCGTGTTGCTCAGTCTTTAGTTTTTCATGTTGTGTTTTGTGTACTATTGTTTGTCTGTTGGTCTTTTTATTTTTTAGCCATGGTGTTGTTTATTTTTGACTTATGAGTTTGAATGTCCTTCTGGTATCTTTCGCCTCTCTTTTTCGTTTCAAAACTACAGATGAAATATGAATTTTTGTAAAATTTAAGACTATATAATAGTAGTATGACAGATAATTGTGATAAGCTAAATTTTCTTATCAAGCTACTTTAGATACTAGACATTTCATAAAATTTACTGTTTGCAAAATTATAAATTATTCTAAATAATAAGGATGTTCTTGTCCCAGGCAGAAAACCCTGGCCGTGTTAGGCGCAATTTTATGGAAGTTTTGGTCCTCGGTGCTCTTCAGCTTTGTACTTGTTTTGGCTTTCAAACTTTTTTCATCTGAGCGTCACTGGTTGGTCTTGTGTGGACGAGACGCACGTCTGGCGTATTGAATTTTAAGCCTAGTACCTTTTGTTAGCTATTATTCGTGTGTTTCTTTGTCCTATATGTTCTCCCATTTATTTGTATTGTGGTCCTGTCATGTGATGTTGTCGTTTTGGTGTTGTGTTTGACGTTGCCATAAAAGCGGGAGGTTTGGCATGCCACAGAACCAGGTTCAACCCACCATTTTTTTTTAAATGTCCTGTACCAAGTCAGGAAAATGGCCATTGTTATATTATAGTTCGTTTCTGTGTGTGTTACATTTAAATGTTTTTAGTTGTGTCGTAGTTCTCCTCTTATATTTGATGCGTGTCCCTCAGTTTTAGTTTGTAACCCGGATTTGTTTTTATCTCTATCGATTTATGAGTTTTCGAACAACGGTATACTACTGTTGCCTTTATTTCCAGTAAAGTTCATCAGTCCATAAAAAAACAATGTAGAAAGTTGTGGCATTTCGACCTAATTTTAATTTGTTTCGTTTATCAACGTCTATCTCTGGAAGAAATAGATATATAAATTAATATAAAATAAGGAGACGTTGTATACATGCAATTGAGACAGCTCTCACAATCATTTATGCAGTTATAAGTCATCGTATGGCATTCTGTAATAAGCAAAAGTAGTTCTATACCGTATAGTCAGCTTAAAAATACCTAAAAATGGTGAAATGATTCAAACAAATAAATGCATCGGCCACATTTATGTCAAAACAAAGTAGGAAAACAAATCTAACCGACAACAACAACAACCACCTAACTAACAAATATAAAACTTTTGTTATCATCAACAATGAATATATTCCGTTATTTATGTGTCTGTTTTAACAATGTCGGATTAGGTCAATACAATCTAGTAATATTATGTTTAATTTGTAGACCATAGCGTTTCTGGTTTGTAATATAATATCAACAGTTGTGTTTTCATCCACTGTGTTTAGTTTAGCAGTTATCGGAGCCCTTATTGTAAGTTTTATGAAACAACATTAAGTAGTACATCCAATTACACTGTTTAAACCGTTTAATTTGTTCTTTGACAAAAAAGTAAATGAACGACAGTGGTATATGCATAAATCATTAGTTGATATTGTTGTACTCTCTCAACATCTATATAAAATTCTAAAATACTAAAAAGTTTTGTATTAATTCAGTTGTTCTCCTGGTTATAAATTTGTTCTGACAAATTGTGTTTCCGTTTCTTTTAGTCTTAAACATCTTTTAACAAACAAAGTTGGAAACAAATTAGTCTAACTATTAAAAAAACTGACATGGATATCAATTGTCAATCAACCTACAAACTATGAAAACATTTTAGGAAATGAAACTATAAAAATAAGAAGATGTAGTATGATTGCCAATAAGACTAGTTTCCACTAGAGACCAAATGACAGAGAAATTAACAACTTTAGGTCACCGTACGACCTTCAACAATGAGTGAAACCCATACCGCATAGTCAGCTATAATAGGCCCGGAAATGACAAAATGTAAAGCAATTTAAACGAGAAAACTAACGGCCTGATTTATGTACAAAATAATGAACGAAAAACAGATAATGATAGACAACAACAAACGACATTATTTTCATGATACAATTAAATCATATTGAGGAGAAAAACTCCTAGTAAACAACACAAAAGATGCGGCGTAAAGCAATCACCAATCAATTAAACAACACAAAGGAAAAACGGAAGAATTCTTTTGTCTTTGTCCACAAAAAAAGCTTCCTCTTCGTTCATTGAACTGCACTTCAAAAAATGAATCAATGAAAAGTGAAAGTAATCAGATCTTGAACTACATTGGGAGACAATCGCATTTAGCTTCATTGAACGCAAAGTTTAAATTGAAATGTTCAAATACTATTACATGTACACTTAAATTGAATACAATAATATTTACAGATTATATATTAACTTATCCTTTTTATAATGGTAAAGAAAGTACTATTTGGGTTCGCTTGCGACGAATAGTACGTATCGAAATCGTTTTGTATCAGGACCAAGACAAGTAATCAGAGTTATGTATGTTAAATATATGTTTACTTATTAATTCTTATCTTAGTTTTATCATTGTAAATTTTATTAGAGCAATATCAGTATTTTTCTGTTCGTACTTGGGAAATAAGCTACTGACTGGGCTTGATAAAACTCTCAAGGTCTGTTAGTACTAGGGCAGAGAAATCCACTCAGTATTGGTAATAACATTACACAGTATCAGCTATGTAATGATGAAAGTAATTACACTTAAGGATGTACCCAGGTTTAGGAATTTTTGTCAGATGTTCGGACTCCTTGTTTTCTTTCCCACGATACAGTGTAAACTATTTTGCCCCATTTTTTTTTCATGTAAGACTTCAATAGCTCATAAAAGGCCATTTACCAAACTTTTAGCAGATTTTAGATTTCTTTTCTTTCGATTTGAGACCCAAATAATACCAATGAAAATATAAGGTAAAAGTCGGAGTCTGCCTTTTCCCGCCATTTTTCAAAAAATTAAATATATCTAAAGGGAGCTCCATAACCTATCAATATTTTAAGCTTATTTTGTTCCTTAACTAATGCTCTTCTGACTTAAAGTATCAATTTTAAATTATATTTTTTTTAAATTTTACCTAAGTACATCCTTAAGGTTTAAACAAAATGTTTTATTTAACATTGTTTTAAATTTTTTATTGAAAGATTCTTCTTGTAGGTTGCTTTTTCTACAAACACCGGAAGTGTCATTACAGTGTCTGTCTTCCTAGCTGTATTTTCTTTCATCGAATTCATCATATCTATTGTTGCTGCATCACACTGCTGCTGTTGTTCACAGCTCAATACGGGAAATGTTAGTATATTTATTTTTTTAAACGATATCCTTGAACATTGAGTGTTAAAATGTGTAGTATTATATCAACACAAAAGGTAAGGAATAAAGCTACGTTAATTTTTACTCGTGAAATATAAATATAAAAAAGCAATTGGTCACACGTTCATGAAAATCATCAGGTTACTCAATGTAGAATCATGTTGAATAACATTTAATGATATGTTCCGAACATTCAACAGATTAACCAGTGGCTATATAACAAACAGTAACATAATACAATTATATTTTTCAGCAACAAGAAGTTATATTTATGAACATAGCACAATCTGGAATGAGTTATAACATGCCAAACACTCCAATACCTACAGGGAACCAGCAAGGATACCATCAAATGTGGATGCCCCAAATGCAAGGATTCTATGGTCAACGGCCGGCAAATATGCCAAATTACCAACAACAAGCAGGTCATTCACATGGAAATCAGATGCCAGTACAAGGATACTATGGACAGTAACCAGTAACAAAACATAAATGCACAGCAGTTTGTACACCCAACTGCACCTGCTGTAGATAAAAATCAACCATTTCCTGTTACCGACAATTCTATAAGAAGTGAAATGTAATTATTCGTCCAGTTTAGACTAACTCAAACATATCAACCGTCCTGCCAACAGAAATGAAATTGTATGACAGTTAGTTGTAAGAAATAGTCAATGAGTGAGAAAATCGGCTTTTTTAAATATTTCTTTTCTAGTTTTCATTCACGTAAAAGTAAAATTAAATTGTACATAAAAAATTATCTTTAAGTCAAATAAAGTAGTCTTGTTATCGATTTATCTTCTTAAAAAATGATATTTGTAACCTATTGGACTATTGATTACTGAGTTTAACTCTGCAAATTCCGTAATCAACTGACAGTTTCGTTTTGTCAATTATGCCATGTTATTTTCCAATTATTTTTTTCTCTCGATTACTTGTGTAGTCATTTTGCAGAAATCAAAACAACTTTTTGAGAATATATCTTACATTTACGTGAATTTATGCGAAAGTACTTACGTCGTGTTGAAATCTCGTAAATCAAGTGAGAAATCCTTGTAACAACAAAAACTGAGAGAATCGCACGAACGCCAAAGTAACAAGACCGAGTTTATTGAGATTGTAAGGGTTGCCTACTATGCATGCATCATAAAATTGAGAATGGAAACAGGAAATGTATCAAAGAGACAACAACCCGACCAAAGAGCAGAACACCCAAGGTCACCATTGGATCTTTAACACAGCGAGAAATCCTTCATTCGGAGGCGGGCTTCAGCTGACACCTAAATAACAATGTGAACTAGTTCAGCGAAAATGGACGTCACACTAAACTCCGAAACATATAAATGAAACAAAGTTTAAAAACAAAACATACAAGACTAACAAAGGCAAGAGGCTCCTGACTTGGGACAGGCGCAAAATGCGGCGGTGTTAAACATGTTTTGTGAGATCTCAACCCTCCCCCTATACCTCTTACCAATGTAGAATAAACAAACACACAGCCAGCAATACGTACAGTAAAACCCAGTTTAAAAGAAGTTGGAGTCCGATATTAGAATAGGTAACAGAAGATACTAAGCAGAATGACAATGAAACATACATTAACAAAGGACTACTAACAGATACTGACATGCCAGCTCCAAACTTCAATTAAAATGATTGAAAGATTATATCTTAATCATATGAAAATCAAGCACAATCCATCCCTTTATGGGTTTAGTATCATACATTGTACCATCATAAAATATAAGAGAAGAACATAACCAGCATCATGTCAACAACTGGTTTTATAATACATGTGGTTATTTCCGATGCAAAGACCCTATGAGTGAATCAATATTAATACCAAAATAGGCCATCTTTAATGACCTGACAACAGTATCGTTACTACGTATATCACTTCTGAATAATATAAAAATAAAAAGATGTCTGTTTAAAGGTTTGGTTAGCTTTTGAGGTGAATGAACACATTTTTGTGCGTTATAAAGAATATTACCATAAAAGATAACCCTACATGCGAATCCACACTCAGTCATAACGTCAAAATCAGAATTACTAACATGAAACAATCATCCCTCTTTGTGACACTGACACCGATAAAAAAAACTACGGATACGCCCTATATATATGTATATGCTTAATCGTTTAAAATCTCGTAATCATTATTTAAGGAATGAATGTAATATTTTTTTCTGTCTATGAAGAAATAACATAAAAAATGTGGTGCACACTGAATAACTCACTTAGAATAGAAAATGTGATTGAATTATTAAAACAATATGCTCAATATTAGATTTTTTCAAGTTATATTTTTCTTGGAAGATACTGAAGTACAAGTCCGTGTAAGAGCAAATAAAATACAATGTAAACTCTGATAAGCCCATTAACACGAAAAATGATAAAATTGTGGGAACTTAGTAACTCATTAAAAAAGATGACAAAAAGAAAAATAACAAAAATACCGAAGTCGGAGGAAAATTCAAAACGGAAAGCCCCTAATCAAATGGCAAAATCAAAAGCTCAAACACATTAAACTAATGGATAACAACTGTCATATTCCTGATTTGGTACAGGCATTTTCTTACATGTATGTAGAAAATGGTGGATTAAACCTGGTTTTATAGCTAGCTAAACCTCTCACTTATATGACAGTCGCATAAAATTTCATAGTATAAAACCAATGAACGCCTTATTTCTCTAGATTAAAATAGATAAAATGCATTGCCGTCTTAATAGACAGGAGCGTAAATGCATTGAAAGTGAGTCGACTTTGATACTGTTTTTCTGTAAACAGCAGATGCCTGGCACACGTATTTATTTATATTTGGATCCATTACTTCTCTTTCGATGAAGTTCACGCATACAATAAGAAAATATCTATATCGAAGTCCTTATGCATTTTTTAGTTTATTGTGACTTTGTCATTCTTAAACAACAATAAAATACATATTTAAAAGGATAGAATTGAGCAACAGCTATCACCTCATAACATGTATCAGTTATAAATATGAAAAAAATGATTTCCAATGAGACAACTCATCGCCAGAGACCACATGACATAGAAGTCAGCTATGGGTCACAGTATGGCTTTCAATAATGAGCAAAACCAACAAATTACAATACGATTAGCACCACTAACAAATATGATTCTAAAAAACCAAAAGAAATACTTGAAATTATCTTTTTCATCATAAAAAAGGAATGTGTGTATACGTCATTTAGGTAATAACCCCAACACAAAAATAACCAAGACATTCAAAGGGCAACAAACACTCCTCAACAAAAGGCACCGGTCCACACGCTATGTCAAGCTTTTGATTGTGCAGGGTCCGTTTTAGTTACCATTTTCAATTTTGGAAACCAAAAACATTTCAAATCCTCCATTTAACTATTTTTCACATACTTATAAGTCCATGTTTATAATACTTTTGTTTGCCATAACCAATTAAAGAAGAAAGAAAAAAACACCGTTTTATGGCTATTTTTTTCGGTGGTCCTAATAAACTCCAAATAAAAAATTACAGACCGTATTAAAAAGATTATTAAAAAGAACAAATATCATATCAAAAACAAGAAACTAAATAATATTGTATTTATAATTTGTTATAATCATATCGGTGGTTTTGTGGCAGAGAGCTCACATTGAGAACACATTAATCTTTCAAACGTTCTTGCCCTGCTTCTCCGCCAAGTACGCAAAGTAAGAGTAAAAGACTGGTCGGCTTTCAATCATATAATTTGTGCCGACCAGATGACACAAGTATTTCTTTTTTTGGATTGTCACTGAAGTCGTGTTATTATTTGCAAACTCATAAGCATCAGTCTTCCAGCCCTTACCAATATTTTTTTGTTTTAAATTGTAATGAATTATGGGTCTTACAAATATGAAACTGAAGACGTAGGAATCTTGCAGGCGAAAGAGACGTTTTGATTCAACAATCCCCGTCATTTGTTATTTATAAATTTTGAAATTATAAAGAAACGAAGGTTTCAACTCTATCAGGCAAAGTTGACCTTTGACTGATTTGGCTATCTATTTAGGTCCCATTTGGTCATATAGCTTGTCAACTATTTCTGTTCTTTTACATCCTTGGCTTTCAAATAATCGGCTCTGAGCATAAATGATGAAGATAAATCCAGAATAGCGCTTCTGACTTTTATTAATTTATTACTTGTTGTTTTCTCTTTTTTTCCATTATTGCAGAGCTTTTTGTTGTCAATGGTTATCTTGGTTTGAAATCTGTCACGACTGTTTTATCAGTGTTGTAATAATTTCTGACACAATGCAGGAGAAGGACGTAAGGTTAACTCTCTAATCTTTATTTTGTTTGCCCATTTTTCTTTGTTCTTCTTTTTTTTTTTTTGGGGGGGGGGGGGGGGGGGGGAGGGATTATTCTCTATTCTGTAAACCGCATATATCTTGGGTTTTACTGGGAGGGTTTGGCGCCCGCTAACATGTTTAACCCTGCCACATTCCGAATTTGACTGTCCCCAAGTCAGGGGCCTGTAATTTAGTGGTTGTCGTTTGTTGCTTTGTTACATATCTATTTTTCGTTAATTGTTTTGTAAATAAGGCCATTAGTTGACACGTTTGAATTGTGTTACATTTGTCATTTCGGGGCCTTGTATGGCTGACTATGCGGTATGGGCTTTGCTCACTGTTGAAGTCCGTACGGTGACCTATAATTGCATGTTGATTTCTGCGTCATTTGGTCTCTTGTGGATAGCTGTCTCATTAGCACTCATACCACATCTTCTTTTTATATATGTTCAGGACGAGAACAAGTTAACAAAAGATACAGTAGGTAGGTCTTACAATAGAGGCCGTCCGGGATGAAGGTCGGGGAAATTTGGACTGCCACGGGAAAATGATGGTAAATTGGATAGGGACGGAAATTTGGCCTTGCAACAGGCCACCTATGGCCTCTCCAATAGTTGTTACAAGGGTTTTTAACGTGCAAAGGGCATGGCATTCTCTCTACACGAGGCATCGGACTTAACGTCCCCATTCTGACCGGAAGTGGATGCGTACTTGATAAATCCCGCACAGCCAAACGGACGCCTCACTAAGTCTATGGCTTTAGGGGAGGAAGACCAATGGAGACCATATTTCTATTCCCCAGTCACTCTTGGGGGTATTGAAATTTAGATTCTTGGTACTGACGTTGCTTATCATCTAAATTACGTGTTATAGTGATATTTGTATTTGTCTTTGTAAATTGTTAACCTTTACTCTATGTTATTGTTTGAATAGTTTTGGGGCGTGGCTCGGTATTTATACATCCCGCCGTTGTGTTATGGTGCTATCGTCAATTTGTACTCTTAACATTAATTTTCGCTCATGAACTTTATCTATAAAGAGTCTATATGCCATTTTGTTTTTCTTTGTTGAAATAGTTTTAAATTTTGTTTTAAAGTGATTAAGATTATAGAACAATGTTGACCGTTGTGCCCCAATTTTTGACATTTTTACCTATCATGTCTGTTTGTTTTGCTCATAAATTGTTGTTAATATAATGGAATTCTATGCGACTGTCATACATGTACAAGTGAGAGGCTTAGCTAGCTATAAAACCAGGTTTAATCTACCATTTTCTACATAAGCAAATGATTGTATCAAGTCAAGAATATGACAGTTGTTATCAATTCGTTTGATGTGTTTTAGATTTTGATTTTGCCATTTGCTAAAGGACTGTCCGTTTTCAATTTTACTTGATATCTTTTTATTTTCTTTTTTTTTCCTTATAAGCGATATGTATGTCTTGATTGCCACCCATATTTCATCTGCAATTAGCT